GGGGGAAGGGGGAGCCTGCAAATGCAAAATATTGCCTTGCAGCCACTACATTTTTTTTTCCTTCTGCAAGTGCTTATCTACATGTCTTCCACTTCCATGTGTGTGCATACATCTCACGCACCTAAGATCACAATCTTCTGACCAGCACTATCCAGTGCATCCATACCTTTGCCCTGTTCATCCCCTATGGAGGGCATACAGGTTTCCGCACCCACCCACCCATAGCAAAAAATTGGAACAGAGCTGTAGCACTGTGTTCAGAACCTGTCTTTTTTTAACAGTTTTTATCTGTACTTACTCTCTTATTTTCAGTTTAGATGAACTTTTTTCCAGTTATTTGTTTAGCAGGTGTTTGGCTTGTGGGTGACCAAAAATCCCATAGGCTAAACAACATTAAGTAGTTCACGCCTTCTGTACTGGGTATTCAGAATGTTTGTTGTGAGTTGGTGAAAGGCATGGCACTGAGCAATATTGTTTTCTAAACAAGAGCTTTTCCTCGTGAAGGTTTAAGCTTTTCTTTCCGATAAACCAGTGAGACTACTCAGACCTGGGCAAACAAGCTGTTTCTGCCTTCCAGCAGTCATTTAAAAATGGCCCAGCAAGGACTGGTTCTTTGGTAAATGTCAGGGCTCCTGTTTCTCATCAAAACACTTCTCTGCTGCTGCTATTATGCAAGTGAACAGGGGGGCCTGATGCATACTGGTTGGTTTTGCTCTGCAGTTCATTGGGTAGGAACTCCAAAAAAGTTTTTGGTCAGCAAAACAGCTAGGCTGTGTCTAGACTGCATCCCTTTTTCGTAAAAGGGATGCAAATTAGACCTATCGCAATTGCAAATGAAGCGGGGCTGCTGCTTTTTTCCGTCTCGGAGCTTTGCTGGAAAAAAAGCACCAGCCTAGATGCAGATCTCTTGGAAAATAAAGCCTTTTCTGAAAGATCCCTTATTTTAAGAGGGATAAGGGATCTTTTGAAAAAGGCTTTATTTATTTTCTGAAAGATCCACGTCTAGACTGGCACTTTTTTCTGGCAAAGCAAGAAGCCAGCTAGCTGGGGCAGTAGGTTGCAGGAGGAGGAGGGGTGCTCCCAGCCCTGCTTCCTCCAGGCTGCTGTGCCTTGCAGCCAGGCAGATTAGAGGGGTTGGCTGGGAATGTGCCCCTCCAGGATTGCCCCAGCCCTGAGTCCCCTCCTTCACCACCACCATTTTGGGGGCAGGGGGGCCCTGCAGCTGCACATACTGGTTGATTTTCCTGTTTCCTGAGACTAGGGAGTGAGGGGAAATTGCTGAGCCTGCTGGGTTCCTTCTCTGCCCTTCCCCGGGACAGCTGGGAGCCAAAGGAATGCAAGAGGCTCTGCACTTTCCCTTCACTCCCTAGTTGCAGAAAGCAGGAAAAGCAACTCACATGGACCCCATTATGTGCAGCTGTAGCTTCCCCCCTGCCCCCCGCTGCACTTATCCTGCCCTAAGCCCCCTGTTGGGAATCCTTCACCCTCATATGCTCCGGCTTTGAACTCACACTCCCAGCCCCCTGCCTTCTCTATTTCCCCCCCCCCCATACTTAAATTTCTTACAGGTACTGTATTGTAAGCCCTCACCTTAAGGCCCCCCCTCAAGGGGGACAGGTTGTGGTAAGACAGTATCTAAGAAATTTATTTTCATGCCTCATGGAATCTATGGCACTGGTGTGTAGCATTGGTATCAGGGCCATCCCTGGGGCAATCACCTCTCTGCCGCCACTCCACCTCTTTCAAGTTCTGCCCCTGCTCTGTCCCCTCTTGCCCTCATTGGTTGGGGCTCAGCAGCAGGGTCTGGGTGTTGGGAGAGTGGGACTTGGTGGGTGGGAGTCTGTGTGCAGCTATCTGGGGAATAGTGGCATGGAGCCCTGGATATGAGAGTGCAGGGGGTGAGGCTCATCAGGGTGAGGAGTCAGGTAGTGGGGGAGGGGGAAGGTCCTGAGGCAGAGGGTTGATGTAGGAGGGCTGCAAAGCAGAGGTTGAGGTTCAGTGGGATGGAGGGCTTGGAGGGGTTCTGGATGAACAGGGGGGCTTGGAAGGGATTTCTGGTTATGGGAGGTCCAGAGGTGTGGGAGATGGTGGAACAGCTCTCCCCACAGTACAGAGTGATTGTAGTAGGAAATGGGAGGCTGTGGCGCATCATTCATCTGGGGGAGGTTTCTGGCATGGGTCTGACACAACCCCAGCCAATGCTTGCAGGGGAAGAGGCAGTCCTGTGCTCTCCAGCCCACCTGGGACTAGCAGCCGATCCTAGCTCAGGGCAACCTGTGGCCCAGCTGGGCACATGTGCCCAATTGGGTTCTATACGTGGCCCATGAGACAGTTGGTTTACTGTTGCCCATTCACAGGGTTCCCAGATTCTGCTGGCTTTTGGCTGCTTAGTTTTTTTCCTTTTACTATTACAAAAATGCCACAAAGTAAGGCACATGAAGTGGGGTGCATGCTGACTGCACACAACATTGTGAGAGCCAGGTGTCCCCTCTGCATCCAATTAAAGACTTGCTACGGTTCATTGAGCGCATCCCACAAATTCTTGGTACGTTAAGTGTATTTAGCTAAACTACCCTATTCCAGGAGACCGTCTTGATTACGACAGTCTTGCGGCCCACTGAGGTGAAGGAGGGCCGCTCGTTCACTAGCTTAGGTTGCCCGTTGCTGGGGTGTCTCCAGCCCTGCAGTGATTTACCTCACTGCCAACTGCTCCAGGTGCCTGGGCTGTTAAGGAGGGGTACATGACTGCTTTTGCACCAGCCCTGTTAGAAAGCCATTTTGCTGCAGGGAAGCAAATTCTCCACACACGCAGTGGCACAAAATCCCCCCCAGGGATAATGTGATTGCTACTACTAGTCTTTTGTAGAGGTATTGCCATCTGCTCATCACCCGGGGAGAGCGGCTCTGCAGTCTCTACATAGGTTCCAACCACTCACCTCCTTTCGTAGTTTCAGAGGGGTAGCTGTGTTAGTCTGTAACTGAAGAAAAATACACCCTACCCACCTTCCTTGCTGGCACAGAATCTGCCACCACCTGAGGGAATTGAGGGCCAGCTGGCCATTTTCTGCTCCTTTTGCCCTGAGAAGCGAGGGTATGCAGGATGCAGATATGGCCCTAATAGACATTGCTGGCCAAGGACTATCACATGTGCTGTATATACACCTGGAGTGTCATACATACGGACGCCACATCTCAAAGAGCCACAATTAGGGTAAGATAAATAATTCCTCTCTCTTTAATTATGTGATGTCTCCACTCAAGTTATTTGTCTACCTTGGAAGTGGAAAACATGCTCTAGTTTATTTAGACAATTTAGAAAAGTGTTTTTTTCATATGTCATTTGCTACCTTTGTGGTCAAGGATTTGGCTGGAATGAGTGA